AATCCTATATAAGAGTATAGACTTAAAATCTATGGATAAATGCATAATTTTTTGTTTGCCTAATAGTGCCAAACGATTCAGCCCCATCATAGAGATTTGGAGTTATTAGCAGCCTAATAGTGCCAAACGGTGCAAATCCTCTATAATATCAAATTATTAACAATGCATACGTAATATTTGTTACCATGCTGTATAATTAAAATATTTTTATATATTATTTTGATATTAATATATTAAAACTATCTAAAAATATTAATTTAATATTTTTAATAAAAAATAAATTTAAAAATCACTTTAGAAATCAAATTCTAACAAAAAAAAAAACGCTCATTCAGTGTAACCAATGAAAGTCTAAATGGGTTAATTAAAATGAAAAAAATTAATTAAACTCCATGTTAATTATTTGTTTTGTGTACTTGTTTGTTAAGGAGATCTATATGTATTAATTTAAAATAAATTCATTACATAAATATTGGTAATTACTTATTAAATATTTTGTTTCTCTAGAAAAATCAATGCAATTAAAATGAAATCAAATAAAAAATATGGATTTACTATGACCATAAGAAAGAAAACCAATACAATTAAAATGCAATTTGTTCTAAAATTAATATATTGTGTTGCAAGTACAGGATGGATTGCAATCGCATTAGGTTCTATAACAAAATTTGCAATGTTTGCCTTGTGATGAGTCCCCACTCTCCAAATTCTTTGACTTTGTTAAAGAAAACTTTAGACAAAGGTTATACTTGGTTCAGAATTTAATTTATGCAAGTATATGACTAATTTATAATTGTTTCTCCATGACATGTGATATCGTGGTGCTAAAAAAAATAAAAAAGATTCTAATCAGTGTGTTGTTTGGAAAATATGATTTGATTGAAGAGTAAAAAATCAATAAAAAATATATTTAATAAAAAACTTCTTGGCTGAAAAATGGAAAAAAATTTCAAAGGGATAGAATTAAAAGTAACGCAAAATTATTCAATTATTTTTTTTCAAAATATTAAAAGTAATTAAATATCTTGCGCATAACACACCACTAGTTGAGAGGAAAACCAGAAAATCAAAATCCTATTCCAACAAATTAGTTTAATTAAAGTAGATTTCATCGTCCCTTGGGCCCAAGAGGGCCTGGACCTAAGTCTTAAACTAAAAGATTTGTGGTCTGGGCTGGTCCAAAATGATTGAAATAGCTAGCTTAGTAAAATCTTAATCCTAATCCAGTAAACGGAAACTAACTGCTGTACGAATATAGAGTTACCTATTCCCATGAGAGTGTACGCTACCCTTTTTACCTTTTTTTTTTTAATTGCCCTTCCTACCTTCAATACAAAACCTATTAACTAAACATTAAAAATTGAGTTGATTTTTAGTAAAAATGTCATAAAATGATTAAATAATTTATGAGAAGATAATGAATATTTGAAATAGATAAGCAAAATATCTATTAAGTATTAAAACAATTCTGATTTGAAAAATCGTTTGTTTCATTCAATTTTATTTAATTTTTATATTAGTGAAAAAGAACAAAATTTTATGCTTGCATTCATGAGTGAACACGCCATTTATTTCTGATTTAGTAATTTATTATAAAAATATATTGATGCATAAATTTCATGAATTTTCAAAATAAAAAAGTGTAGACTTTTCATTAAAAAATTGAAGACTTGGTTGTGTAAGTTTTGAAAAAAATCCAAAACTAAGAGTTGTTGCGTGTGGACGCGCGATGTCGAAGAGTCAAGAAGTTGCTATCAAATTGTTTGATTGAGGATCATTAAAAAGCTTGGATACATTAGTTTTATCAAAGATTCGAAGGATAAAAGACTAGTTGTGGTTAGAAAATGTATTAGTATTCTAAACGTATATTATCTAAAGTAAGTTGCATCATGTGACTAAAAGGTTTTGATAAGTTTCTAATTGGTAGTCTGTTTATGACGCATGATAAAGATTCATTCGTGCGAATAAATCTTATGTTTTAAATTTATTATGAGTTTGTGTGTCTAAATAAATTAACATGAAAAGGATCCATGTAAATCTCTTGACATGATTCATATATCCTAAAAGGTGAAAATGTTTTTTATAACTCGTGTGTTGTAACGGAAAATAATCTCAGTTAAAATGAATGAATATTTAAAATAATTATGAGAATTATTTAGTTAATTTATAATATTTAAATATCAATATATTTGTAGGTCCAACGTTTATGCCTAAAATATTGACTATTAATTCTTATAAATTAATTTTTTTTAGAGATTATTGAGATTTTAACCAAATTCTCTTAAATTCAATAAATTGATTATTAAATTTAAAATGCATGCAACTATATATTTTATAAAAAATGCCAAAACACTATATGTGCGTATGTGTGTGTATTTTAAGAAAAAACATGATTTTTATATTTTTAAAAAAACTTGGTCATATGCAATTTAAATAAAAATTATATTTTTAACATAATTTTTTTTATTGTTATATTTATGGAAGGGAATCGATTCATTTAATATAAAAAAACACATCGAGTATAGATCACAATTTCAGGTATTAAGTATAAGAGTGTAAAAAAATAAAAAAATCAAAATTAATTGCAAAATTGTTAACCGAATTGTTAAAAATCTGACTAAAGCCATGTTTAGCAAAACACAATAATGTGTTTTTAAATTGAACAAGATATCAATTTAAAAACAAATTATTCACTAATCAAATTCAACTCAAAAGCAACAAAATACCAAACCCAAACATAATTGAGAATATTTGATTATAGAGGGCCAAACTTAATTCTTACAAAGTTAATTGATGGAAATTAAGGGTAAAATTATAAGAAAATCAAAGTTTATGATCAATTAAGAGTTAAATAAAGAAATTTACAGTTAAAGATTCTTTTGGAAAAGATATCAAATTCTGGAGACTCAATTTGTTTAAATTAAGGGTGAAATTAAAAAATATTAAAGGCTTGATGGTCAATTTATATAAACCCAAGAACAAGGATCAAAATAAAAAAATACTAAAATTTAGGGCTGATATTAAAATTTAATAAGGGTGCAATTACATAAAATTAGCAATTCCAGTTCAAGGGAAGCAATTAAAGTAATTAAAAGTTGAAATGATCTTTAGTTAAATTTCTAAATTAAAACCAGAACATTTGAAGATTAAAATAAAATCAGATAATTAAAATTAAAATTACTCAATTATTATAAATGATATCATGTGATTTTGAAATGGAAACAATTGAGAGGTAACGAAAATTCAAATTAAGATATCAAAGCAGGTTTCATTTGTCTACACAGTGTATCTGTGTTGCAATTTGTGTTTGGTATGCAAAAACATTTTTTTTTTTGTGTTCTTTTATTTACAACTCAAGCTGTCCTACACATACATTATATAGCTAAACGAGTTCTAAATAAGTTTTTTTTTATTACTAGAATTGAACTCTTTGAGAATTTATTATGTACTTTTAGATGCCTCCAATGCATGAGGTTATTTGTTTAATCAACTTAAATTAATTATGGATTGACATTCAAATTTATTTTTCTATTTAATAGGTTAAAACACCAATAACAAATTAAAATTTGATCATTCCTCAAGGAATCTCTATTTATAAACTATTCAATAAAAGGTTGTGAGACTTTGTTCATAAAAAATTCACCCAAATCATATATCATGAAAAAAAAGTTTCAACTGCAATACTATTTGTTATTTGCATTCATAAGCAAACATGTTTTTTCTTCTCTCTCTTTTTTTTTTTATAATTTATTGTAAATGCATGAATTCCCACAAAAAAGGAGAAGCTTTTAGTGAAAAAGATAAAGACTAAATTACACGAATTTTAAAAAAATAACTTTTTTACATAAAAAAAAGTGGGAGTTTAATCAAGAAAATAAAAGCCTATTAATACCTTTTATCTTCTTTTAAAACAATTTTTTTAAAATTTTTTTTAGAAATTTATAATGAAAAATTTATTTTTTTAAAATACAAGATTTATAAAGTATAATGGTATCCGAAATAGAAAGGAGTGGTGGTAACTAACTGATAGAATATATTTAAATCATGCAAGGTGCAGCTTCAGCTCAACTCCAACATCCGGGCCAGTAACCCCACCTTGAATCATTTTCACATAGAGGGTTATCTAACACTAACGGGCCTATACGAACCATATAAGCCACTTCATCCACTTTGTCCACGGTCATGAGCTGGAGTTTTGCAAAATATGGCACCTCTATGTATATCATAATTTATATTATTTTTAATATAAATTTTTAACTGTTATTTTTTTAAATTCAAACTTACATAAACTCATATAATTTTATATTTAATTTTTATTAAATAAATAAAAATAATAAAACTTAAATTTGCAATCGCTTAGTTATTGAGTTTTTTATATTATATTAAAAAATTATTTTAATCTAGTAATTTTAATTGTTAATTAAAATTTTAAAATATAATTTATATTACTATATATATATATATGTATGTATGTATATGTATATTGATTTTCGACGTGGTGAGGATATATACACAGATGAAATGTTATGGTGAAATATATTATATGTTTGGAGTTTGAGATAATCTATCTTTCATTCAGCGGACAAAAACCCACAGTACAACTATCCATCTGCCAAAAATCAATTAAAAGAATAAGAAAAGGACCTGAATTTTGGAGCCTTTGCCCAAATGGATGGTTTTGAGCAACAAGCAACAAATGGCAACTGATATGGTTAGACATAGAAATGAGTGCTACTATCGTCACCAGGACAGCCAATCGATCCAAAGCTTCTGCAGGATGAAAATTGTGATAATGCTTACCTCTCTTGAATTACTTTCCAAAAGTAAGCAAAGTTAAAGTTGCATTCAAGCCAAGAAGAAGCCAAAATAGCTTAACAAAAAGTGTCATGCCACAAGCAATTCGTGACCTGACCATCAAATTCTAACTTCTTGTAATCCCCAAGAGGATATATATGCCCCATTTCAGTTCCTGTTTGATTCATCAACCACGGAATCCCACGCAAAATATACACAATCCCCCAAAATATTTTCAAGACACCAAGCACTTCACTCTTACTGAAGCAAGAAAATGAAGGGAGGAATCCTTTCGGTGTTGGTTGCTGTAGCCATGGTTCAATTCATGGTTAATCCAGGAGAGGCCATCACCTGTGGGGACGTGAACTCAGACTTGGCTGCTTGCGTTTCCTATCTCACCGGAAAAGGTGGTGATTTCCCTCCACCAGAATGTTGTGCCGGGGGGATCAAATTAAAGGAAAGTGCTGTCAGCATTGCAGACAAGCAAGCTGCATGTGAATGTGTCAAGGCAGCCGCTGCTCGCATCCCAGATATCAAGGATGAGGCTGCATCCTCTCTCCCTGCCAAGTGCAAGGTTCAAGCGGACTTTCCCATCTCCAAAAACTTCAATTGTGCCGAGTAAGTTTTTTCCCCCCATTAAAAATCAATGTATGATAAAAATTATTACTGATCTTTACCAATCTATGTTAACTAATGGTCATTTTCCTCCATCTTCCATTGGCGCAGCATTCACTAAGATGAAGGGAAACATGCAGGGCGCAGAAATAAAGCTTTTGGATGGTTGGGGTACTGTTACCGATGGGCGATCTCCATATTTAGTGTTCACTACTTAAATTATGTATAAATAAAAGTTGTTATATACAAGAGTCGAAGTAAGGCACCTAGTTCTGCTGTGATTCTTGTAATGGTTTATGAGACTAAGTCATATATATAGCCATGAATGTTGTTGAAACCATTGATACTCTCTCTAATTGCAAGCTATCACACAAACACAGACTAGCGTCCATGGTAGCACGGTTTTTTTTCTTATATGTATATTCTTCATAGCAAATATGATTCCAAGCTCAAACCTCAAAAATGCAATATTGACATATTTGATTTTGCTAACGAGTTCTCAAAAGAACTAGACGTGAATCATTAATTATCATTGGAATTTCTTCATATCACCAAAACACTCACATAGCCAATTTCGGAATTTTATAATCAATACCTATTTTCAATTTAAAAGAATATTAAATTTGGTTTTCCAATTTCAATGTACAAAAAATAAATCTTAACATTATTTTTTTTGAAACTTTGTAATTATTTGAAACTACTATCTGTTTTTTTTTTTTTACTATTTTACATGAGCAAGATCCTTAAATTGTAAAATCTCTTGTTCTATTGACATTCTTGTAGTATATGTAGGAGTAACAGTTATGGAAGATACATGCAACATATATAAATATAGACAGATAAACAATGTTTCTGATAAAATGAACATTTTTTCATCAAAATAAAAAAAATGCTTGAATTAGAAAATTAGGTTTTTAATTAAAAATATATGCCTTTCCTTTTTAGTTCAAATCATTGTAGTTTTTCAAATCTCTCTGTGATTGTTGTTATTTTTTACCTATAAATTATGGTGCTAATAAAAAAAGTCATTTTATTATTAAAACAAAAGGTATTACTTGAATCATAATTGGTTAAAAAATAAAATTTTCATTCATAATTTTATTTGTTGTCTTTTATACTAATATCTATTTTTATTATTGTATAATCAAATAAAAATAAATTTTAAAATGCAAAGTTTTAAAAGATCTTCATTTCAATATTTTAAAAAATAAAATAACAATTCTATTTTAATTTTAAATCAATTTAGATTCTTAACAAATTCCTGATTTGTGAGTGGATTTATCAAGTCGATGTGATTATACATAGTGAATTTTTATCTAATTAAATTTTGAAATCCTGCCTTTTCCAAAACCTAAATTGTTGGATCACTAAGTCGACTCATTAAATCAACATGGATTTAATAAGAATATATAAAAAAGGTTCCTCTACTAAAAAAAGCGAGAATTTTTCACAAGCTAATAGTCGATAGTCAATAATAAACTCTAGACGTGCAAGGTCTAGCTTCAACCCAATTACAACAATCTGGCTAGTATATACCTATCTATTATAATTATAAAATCTAATCTAATAATTAAATTAAGATAAAATTTAAATAACAAATTAGAAAGTTTCAATTGATTAAGTCTAATCTAATTTGATTTAAAACATCAGAATTATCCTAATAAAAATACCAACATTGGACCTCCCTCACTGGTAAACCCATCAAGGCCCCCACTGCCTAAAAGAGAAAAAGATAAAACATAAAAATAAAGATGAAGGGCGATAGTTCAAAAAACCTTCTGAATTGGATCATAATTTAAGCTTCTCCGTCTTTGTCTCGTGATTTTCCTTGCTCCTTTTGTGTTACGTATTTTTTGTAGTAAGACATGTAGCTTCTTCTTTCTTTCTTTCTTTCTTTCCTTCCTTTTTATCTTTCAAGACCTTCCTTATTGAGTTTTTGCGATAGTTAACAATGAATCAGTGTTTCGAATCTTTTCTTGATTGATGAATAATTAGTCGACCCATTCAAAAAAAGTTTTTTCTTTTAATTAAAAAGAGGCAATTGATTATTGATCAGGTTTGGACTGATTCATTGATCAAGATTTATATTCCTTTTTAACTCTAAAATCAGTCAGATTTCAAGTAAATATACCTTGAGCCATTTTCACAGAGGGATATCCTAGCAGGCCTCTACGAACCATACAAGTCACTTCACCCACTTTTGCCCATGAGTTTGGGTTTGAGTCCTGCCACCAAAGTTATTTGCAGATGACAACATTGCATCATGTGGCTCTCTCTCTATAAAAAATTATATAACGAGTTTCGTACCAATATAGATAAAATGTTATGGTGTGATATATTATGCTTGAAGCTTGAGATAATCTATCTATCTACCATTCATTTTTCCGAAAGAAAAATGTACACTCTGCAACTATATATCCAGCTGCCAGCAAGAAATGAAACGAATAAGAAAAGCACACAAATCCTGGAGCCTCTGCCCAGATGCATGGTCGATGGTTTTGAACATACGGCAACAAATGGCAACTGATATGGTTAGACATAGAAATGAGTGCTACTATCGTCACCAGGACAGCCAATCGATCCAAAGCTTCTGCAGGATGAAAATTGTGAACAAAATGCTTACCTCTCTTGAATAAACGTAGTTTTCAAAAGTAAGCAAAGTTAAAGTTGCATTCAAGCCCAAGAAAGAAGCCAAAATAGCTTAACAAAAAGTGTCATGCCACAAGCAGTTCGTGACCTGACCATCAAATTCTAACTTCTTGTAGTCACGAAGAGGTTATATATACCCCATTTAGGTCTCCTGTTTGATTCATCAATCACGGAATCCCACGTAAAATATACACAATCCCGCAAAAGATTCTTAGGTCACCAAGCACTTCACACTTACAGTAGCAAGAAAATGAAAGGAGCAATATTGATTTCCCTGTTGGTTGTTGTAGCAATGGTTCAATTCTCGGTTAAGCCAGGAGAGGCCATCACCTGTGGGGAAGTGAACTCAGACTTGGCTGCTTGCGTTTCCTATCTCACCGGAAAAGGTGGTGATTTCCCTCCACCACAATGTTGTGCCGGCGTGATCAAATTGAAGGAAAGTGCTGTCAGCATTGCAGACAAGCAAGCTGCATGTGAATGTGTCAAGGCAGCCGCTGCTCGCATCCCAGATATCAAGGATGAGGCTGCATCCTCTCTCCCCGCCAAGTGCAAGGTTCAAGCGGATTTTCCCATCTCCAAAAACTTCAATTGTGCCGAGTAAGTTTATTTCCCCCCATTAAAAATCAATGTATGATAAAAAATTATTACATGAACCTGAACTTTACCAATCTATGTTAACTACTGTTCATTTTCCTCCATCTTCCATTGGTGCAGCATTCACTAAGATGGAGGGAAACATGCAGGGTGCAGAAATAAAGCTTGTGGATGGTTGGGGTACTGTTGCCGATGGGCGATCTTCATATTTAGTGTTCACTACTTAAATTATGTATAAATAAAAGTTGTTTTATACAAGAGTCGAAGCAAGGCACCTACTTCTCTGCTGTGATTCTTGTAATGGTTTATGAGACTAAGTCATATATATAGCCATGAATGTTGTTGAAACCATTGATCGATCTATCTCTCTCCCTCTCTAATTGCAAGCTTCCAAACACACCCAGCCTATCGTCCATGGAAGTACGAATTATATATACCTCAAAGCAAATATGGTTCAAGGTCCGAACCTCAAAATGCAATATTGATTTTGCCAACGAGTGCTCAAAAGCATTTGACGTCACTCCTATATTATCATTGGAATTTCATCGAATATATATCACCAATCCACTCGCATGGCCAATCTCAAGATTTTATAATGCTTATTTTAAATTTCAATAAATATTAAATTTGGTTTTTCCTACTTCGATGTACAATAAATAAATCTTAACATTATTTATGGAATATCAACTTCTCTTCTTCAAATACACTTCCAGATAGCTATTTATGGAGCTTTCAGAAATGTTTAAACATTTAAATATCTATAAGTAAATTTAGTCGCAACTAAACTAATTTTTTTTTCTTATGGCATCTAATGAGAGTAGAAAACCTACTACGAAGAGATAGACAGGTGGTTTATGGTGAAAAACAATTATTGAGATCCACTTGTAAAATAAGTCTCTTTGATGGGTGCGAGACCGTACGATGACAAAGTTGATAAATGAATGAATATAATTTTTTTTTTTTATTGAAGTCATTTTTTAAAATATTTTTTTGAAATATATTAAAATAATATATATATTTTTATTTTTATACAATTATTTTTTATATTGACATATTAAAATAATAAAATATCAAAAAAATTTAATTTTTTAAATATTTTCAAAATATAAAAACAATCAGTTTCATATCTGAAAAGGCAGTGAATGTTGGCTGAGAAAATAATAGTTTTTTTCAAATATTTTTAAAATATAAAACCAACCAGTTTCATATCTGAAAAGACAGTGAATGTTGGCTGAGAAAATAATGATGCAAGTGAAAAAAAAGACTCATGTTTGTTTTTATAGCGATAAGATCTATCAAGTTGCATGAAAAGAAGCCTTGAACGGAAGAACCTAGGCCCGATTAACAACTAGGCCCTGTCAAGTAACAGGCAGAATAAAAAAAAAAAATCACCATCTTTTTTGCTTTCCCTAATGTAGCTGCAATCAATGGACCCATCTCGTGTTTGTTAAAATTCCCAGCTGAAACCTGGTGCTTGTGAATTCGTGTTTTCTCTTAAACAGTTGAATTATCAATGGATTATTGGACTGGTGTTTTGAAGGTCCCATTGACACCTCCTAGCACAAGTGACTGCAAAGTTGCAGCACCTCTCTGCCTCTCAACCGCTTCCAAAACCCTTGCTGTAAGTCCTTTTTTGCTTCAATTTCGAAGAATATATATATAAAAAAATGTTTGAATTGTTTACATTTATTTTGACACCCAGTTGCCTGCTGCAAACGCAATTTTTTTCAACGGCGATAGGGTTGAAGATTTAAGAGTAATATAAATTATATTTTAGAATTTTATTTAAAAATTTTAAATTTTAAATGGAAATGATTTTTTAATATAGTATAAAGTTTTAATAATTAAACAATTACAAGTTTGAATCTTATTATTTTTAGTTATTGAATAAAAATTAAAGATAAAATAATATTAATTTATATAAATTTTAATTACAAATAACTTTTACTTCCTATATAGCTTTTTTTTTTTTTTTTTTGATAAAAGAGACCAACAGGGCTATATAGCTTCTTTTTTTTTTTTTTGATAAAAGAGACCAAGAACCCATTGGTTGAGAGATTGTCTGGTTTGCAAAAAATAGCTGAAATTTTGGGGTCTAAATTCCGTGGTTGTGTTAATGCTTATGTCATTGAGGCACCGGTTTTCAATGGCAGTTTTTCTGTCTATAAAGACTTTATTCCACCTGTGAACGGATACGGGGAGCCCAAATCGTATAGCCCAGTTGTATAATTCACTCCGTCTGCTGATATTTTGGTAAATTATAGGGTTGTTCCGGCATATATCAACTTCTTACCTATTTGGTAAATTATAGGGTTGTTCCGGCATGCACCAACTTCTTACCTATTTCGTTTGCTGCGTCTACTGGTCTACGAATCCATAATTATTTTTGTCATTGAAAAAATCATTTCAATTCAAAATTTTAAATTATTTAATAAAATTCTATTATGTAATATATATTATTCTTTAATAAAACACACATCATCACCAGCCATGATGTGAGTGAAGAATATCCCAACGTATTATGCAAGGTGCTCCGGGAACTCTATTTCCTCCACGGAACTCCTAGGCAAGGGTGTGAAAGCAACCGAGTTATGGTACGTCACGAAAATGACAAAATGGTTCATCTGAAGCTCGAAGAACTGGAGGGAAATTACGAGAGCGTGAGAAATATTATTTCTGTGACAGGGGGCCAATCTGAAAATACACTTGAAATAATTAAAGACATGGATGTTTGTTGAATGTTCTGAAAATACAAAATAATTAAAGACATGGAAGTTCGTTGAATGTTCCATAAGCTCCATGCCGACAAAGATGACGAGGATGTTGTGCACTTCCGTACATCCACAATGCTTGATCACAAGGAAAAAGATGGCGTCTTTACAATACAAACAAGGAAATGGCCTCAAAAATTGCGTAGGCATAGGTAATTTCAAGATTAGTATTTAACTACCTTGTTCCGGAGGATTGGCGTGTTGCCTTCGTTAAGCATTTCCTGTCATTTAAAAAAAAAAAAAAAAAAAAGGGGCATGCCGTACTATGTCATCCTCGAGACGTTGAAAGGGTTGACAGAAGCTAAACTACTTTTATTTTTGTATTTTAAAAATATTTAAAAAATTAATTTTTTTATTTTATATTTACTTCAAATTAATATATTTTTATAATTTTAAATTATTTTGATATATTAATATAAAAATAATTTTTTAAAAATAAAAAATAAATTTATTTTAAAAAAAAATATTTTAAAAAATATCCATAATTATATTTCTAAAAAAGTTTTAAACAAGTGACGGGGTCTACTGGGTCCTTGGAAATGACGTTGCGTCCTCCCGTTTGTAATTGCAGCACGTAGGTAGGATGATTTTGCTCAACAATCAATGATGTGTGTATGGAGACAATGTGAAGAGTCCTTGGTTTTCCAGATGCGGAAGGACTGCTGTGCAACTTTGTGCGCCAGCACTAAGAGAGAAAATATATTTAATTTGAGTCATTGTTGCCATTAATGTTCTGCTTACGTACAGCTGCCTGATTCTAAATCTCTGATTACTATTTATTTTTCAATAATTATTGGAGAAAAACAAGCCTTGGTTCAAATAAAACAAAGTAATATTTCATTTTATGGAAGATTGGAGAAAGAGAAGAAGAAAAAACCTATTTTCAAAAAAATTAAATGTAATATATTTCTTCATCCAGGAAACTAAACAAATAGTTTTTTGTTTAGGTTTTTTAAATTTATATAGAGTTTATAAAAGAGGTTTTAATTTCACAGTTTGTCTTTACAAGTTTTCTAGTGTTTTTCAAATACATAAAATACACAAACAATACAATTTCTTTTCTTTTACATATAAGATTTCTTTAGTAATATCAAAGATTAATTTATTTTGTTTACATTTTCATATTTAGTTAGTATAAAAAATTTATTTTTTATTAGACTTATATATAAGGATATTATTTCTGAAGTTAACAATTTAACCTTTTGATGATAAATTTTAATTTGAATGAAATAAAACTAATATTTTACAATTATATTATTACAAATACAAAATATTAATTGAGATGATTATTATGAATTATGGTTTTGATTTTTTATAAAAAAAATGGTTGTAATCTTGATGTATTTTCTTATGAAAAAAATCGTCATTGTTTTTAATAGATAAACACTTTTTTTTTTAATTGAAAAAGAAAAAAATAGAAAATAGAAAATAGAAAATATTTTTTTATTACTAAACATACCCTTAATTTGATACATAAAGAACCCATGTATTCTCGATTTATGATCCAGTTGGCTTGAGGGTTTTTATTTTTATATGCCTAAAGGCTAGAATATATAAAAAAGGCATTTAGCCTAAATGCATACACCCGTGCGAGGTGAGGAGTGGGAATATAATTCATGTTTAACTTTTCAATATCGTATACTTTCAGAAAAACATTAGCCAGAAATGTAGATGAAAACCGTGATTGGTTGGTGCAGTTGGTCCTCGTCTTATTACTTGTTGCTGCAATGGTCCCTGTCATGATCCGGGTGACCAAAAAGAAAGAGTGCATGAAGAAGAAATTAAATAAACAACTTCTCAGATTCACAATGGGCAAAATAACTTTATGTTAATGCAACAAGAACATAACTTGGAAAATAACTAAGCATTAATTCCCAAGCAATGATCTCGTTTTCTTCCTAACAGTGCTTATGGAAAGTACAATATTTTAATTCAAAGAAATTCCCTTTTGCTGCCTTCTTATGTTCCTGTAAGAGTCGAAACTCCAAGCTGTAATCAGAAACAATACACAAAAACCATTCCCTGACCAGAAATATGCTTTATTTTGGAAGGTGGCATCATCTGTATGTGCAAAGCAGAAATTTTGTGAACCATCTGTTATTTTGGCGGCAAGGCTAACTTGCATTTGAAATTTTTTGGACAGAAGTTGGTGGTGGTGGCCGGCGGATCTTCACAGGCAAATGTAATCGTCTTATAGCAAATGGAGCTTTCATAATCATTCGAAACATTCCCTTATCTCCCCCCTCCATTTCTACGCCATCTGGATATTCACGTTTTATATTACTAATTCTTTATTCTTCTATCTTATTTTGTCCATTCAAACTGATTTTGATAGGGTCAATATATTCTTGTTGGATTATAGTATATATATAATTGTACCTTTAAGGTCATGCAGGCAGGCAACATATTTGCACCATTTTAGACCTGAAGAATCTTGGGTTTAAGTCAAGGTTCAAAGGGTCCTTAAAGAATATTTGATTGTTTGCATTGCAAAGGTATGAATCTGTTATTTCTCCTTTTGGCATGGGGCTTTTTGGTGTGATTATATGGTAGTAGGAATTACTTAGTAGTTAATGCACATCAATGTGTTTGAATTTTCTTGTTTAATTGCATATTAATTTTCTTGAGGTTGCAGTTTCATTTTTGTTTAATGTCTCTTTCTTTCCTCATATTGGCTCTGATTAAGCTGTGTTTGTTCCAAAATTATAGCCGTTTTCTTTGTTTTTCCTTTCTATTTGTTTTGATTTTTTATGGGATCATAATTTAGAAAACTGAAGGAATTTGCTCTATGAAATCACAAAGTTAAGCAAGTCAAGTGGGATTTTTAGCTTCAGTAGGGAGAGAATGTCATTGCGATCTGATGTGAAGTGTTTGGCAGTGCAGAATCTCTTTCAAGGACCATCATCTTACAGGGTGGGGCGTAAAAGCTGTAGGATATAGAAGATGGTTGAGAATTCGACTGCCCTTGATGCCATTAACAAGGAAGCCGTAGATCTGGTATGTTCTTTATTGTAAAATGATACGTGTTTAATTATACTTCTTAAGAGAAGGAAAGGGAGAAGAGAAAATAGGAATAGGGTTGTTCTTTGATGCTTACGTTGAATGTCTTGTACCAAGCCACCTATTTGGTAAAAATGAAAATGGCTTCATGCAGGAAAATATACCCCTCGAAGAAGTTTTCGAGAATCTCAGGTGTACAAGAGAAGGTTTGACCGCTAATGAAGTTCGAGAGAGGTTGGATTTGTTTGGGTACAATAAACTTGAAGAGCAAAAGGTTGAAAACGAAATGTTCATCATTGCATCATTTTTAATCAGTGTATTATGTGATTTTTTATGATTTATTTGTTCCTTATTCTGCAGGAAAATAAGCTACTGAAGTTTTTGGGATTTATGTGGAATCCACTGTCATGGGTCATGGAAGCTGCAGCAATCATGGCCATTGGTCTTGCACATGGAGGGGTAATTAAATCTACATCTTAATCCATTTATCATGCATTTGCAGTGTCATTTGACGATCGGTATAGCAACTTGAATCAAGAGATGGTTGATTTGTATCAGAGGTGGCGTAGATTTTGATAAAGCCTTCTTTTGCAGAACAAGAGTGCAGACTATCATGATTTTGTTGGCATCATCACCTTGCTTATAATCAATTCAACCATCAGTTTTATAGAGGAAAACAATGCTGGCAATGCAGCTGCTGCTCTTATGGCTCGGTTGGCCCCGAAAGCTAAGGTCTACAAACGCTAGTTCCCTCTTATTTGTATTTTCCATTATCCTATCCCCGCTTGGATTGACTTCTATCTCCGGTTACCAGGTTCTACGTGATGGAAGATGGAGTGAAGAAGAAGCTTCGGTGTTGGTTCCTGGGGATATTATTAGCATAAAACTTGGTGATATTATTCCTGCCGATGCACGCCTTTTGGAAGGAGATCCTTTAAAGATTGACCAGGTAGTTATCGACTACAACAGTATGAGCATACAAGTACATAATCTTAGTGGGTAAAAATTGAGTTGTAGGATCTCTGTTCTTGCCTCTTCGAGTATGTGATGAGAGAGTAAACTGCTTTCAGTGAAACTTCAAACGTTTACCTTTGGTTTTCAAATATTGTAATTGCAGTCTGCTCTTACCGGAGAATCACTTCCAGTAACCAAGAGTCCTGGTGACGGAGTGTATTCAGGTTCAACATGCAAGCAGGGTGAAATTGAAGCAGTTGTCATTGCAACTGGAGTTCATACTTTCTTTGGCAAGGCAGCTCATCTTGTTGAGAACACGACTCATGTTGGACATTTCCAAAAGGTTCGTTAAGAGCTTTATGACTCTCTGCATAATAGCAAAAAATGAGGCTAAATGAGAAGAAGTTTCTTAATCTCATGCCTGAGTCGCTGAAACATTTTACAAGAACAGATATTGTCATTATCAATCTTAACCTTTTTTTAAAGTGAAAACCATGGTAGGACTGTTTCCACACAAGTAGGTAACCAGTTAAATTTGTGTGATGGCTCCAGGTTTTAACAGCAATTGGAAACTTCTGCATTTGCTCAATTGCAGCTGGGATGGTTATTGAGATCATCGTGATATATGGGATTCAAGGGAGGGGATACCGAGTTGGCATTGATAACCTACTTGTCCTGTTAATTGGTGGGATCCCAATTGCAATGCCCACTGTTCTGTCAGTTACAATGGCTATTGGTTCGCATCGCCTGTCTCAGCAGGTTTGTGGAATCTTATCCAAAGATTTTTTTTATTAGATACAAAACTATTCATTTAATTTAAAGAGTCCTGATTGACGATGAGACAGTTGAAATAGTACTCGAATAACAGCCATCTATGTCTTCCACAGGGTGCTATAACAAAGAGAATGACTGCCATTGAAGAAATGGCTGGAATGGACGTCCTTTGCAGTGATAAAACAGGCACATTGACTCTTAACAAGCTTACAGTGGACAAAAATATGATTGAGGTTCTACTCTTGATTTCTCTATGCTCAACTTATGATAGCTCGGATTAAAAAATAGTAGACAGACTCACACGAAAAGGAAAATTGAAAAATAGAAACTGGAACTGGCTCTACCAGAATTACAGTCACTAAATTCTGTAAACTAAAGGACCCTTTAGTTCACTTCTACGGGCTTCCATCAGAGGAAGATGAATCCACGCAGACAAACTAACGATGCATGATGCTCCTAGAATTAACGTGTGCTAAAAAGGCTTCTTCTGCATAAGATCTTGCATGTCAGAGATGAATGAAAGAGTTTGGTTGTGTAAAAGAAAAGGGAAACCATGATCCTTCTTGCTCTACTTCCTTCCACTCAACAAACAAGAATTAACTGCTTAAAAGGCCATCCAAAGAATCTTTCCTATTCTAATAATGATAGATGGTATAGAAATTACTTTTATCTAAAGCATTATCCATGCTCTTGCAGGTTTTTGCCAAAGGTGTTGACAAGGATATGGTTATGCTTATGGCTGCAAGAGCGTCTAGATTAGAGAACCAAGATGCTATTGATTGTGCAATTGTCTCAATGTTGGCAGACCCTAAGGAGGTATTTCATTATGTTTTTTTAATTAGGCTTCTCATTTCATTGATTCTAGAATTTCTTCAAAGTCAAAATGTTAATGTTACGAAGTTAGTTTGTGGATTTCAATACTTTGATGAGCTATCTACTAACAATTTCTTGGGTTTAGTGTCAGAAGTTAGTTTTTGACTTGCACATAAAACCCCATATGAGCATTTTCTGCAGGACTTACATTTACAGTTTGCGTAACTGATCCCGGCTTTCCCTATGAATTTTGACAAACCCTTGTTATGTATTCTGTAATTGTTTGTAAGGCACGAGCTGGGATTCAAGAAGTTCACTTCCTTCCATTTAATCCAACTGACAAAAGGACTGCTCTTACATACATAGATGCTGCTGGGAAAATGCAGAGAGTCAGCAAAGGTGCACCAGAACAGGTAGAACATAAAATATCAAGAATACAAGAATAACCAGTTTAACCATAAAACGCAACATCTGACATCTTTAGTATTTATGCTGCGTAGATTCTTCATATGGCACACAACAAAACAGAAATCGAGCGAAGGGTACATTCAATAATTGACAAATTTGCAGAACGCGGACTGAGATCCCTGGCAGTTGCTCGCCAGGTGACTGCTGAAATCTTGATGCTCTAATAGATGCATGTTATATGTTCTTCTCTGTGCACCTTTTGAAACAATGAAGTACCTTTCTTCTCTAGGGAGTGCCTGCTGGTACAAAGGACAGTCCAGGTGGACCCTGGGAATTTGTTGGGCTTCTCCCACTCTTTGACCCTCCACGCCACGACAGTGCTGAAACAATTAGACGAGCACTGGACCTTGGTGTCAGTGTTAAAATGATTACAGGTAGAGGCTCTAATATTACCAACATTTAAGTGTGATTCTTGTCCTTTATTTCACCTATAATTCCGGTTTAATGATTTTATTTTCGTTTATCTTTTGATTATCAGAGTTTGAGGAAACAAAATAAGAAAATTGCATGTCAGGCTTCAGATGTATCTCAGTTAAACTTTGTTATTAAATTTACAGTATACACTAAAACTGTGATTTCATCTAATGAAAATCTCTCTTTAGGTGACCAACTCGCAATTGCCAAGGAAACAGGAAGGAGGCTTGGAATGGGCACAAATATGTATCCATCTTCATCCCTGCTCGGTGAAGGCAAAGATGATGCAGTTGGAGTACTTCCAATTGATGAGCTCATTGAGAAAGCTGATGGTTTTGCTGGTGTCTTTCCCGGTATGTCATCAGCCATATTTTAAAGACAATAACTGTATAATAGTGCTTGTTTTTATGATTCCTATTCCATTGTTCTCTTTTGCAGAACATAAATATGAGATTGTGAGGAGACTACAAGCAAGAAAGCATATATGTGGAATGACTGGTGATGGAGTGAACGATGCCCCTGCCTTAAAGAAAGCTGACATTGGAATTGCTGTAGCAGATTCAACAGACGCTGCCCGTAGTGCTTCTGATATAGTTCTGACTGAACCTGGGCTGAGTGTAATCATTAGTGCTGTCTTAACAAGCCGTGCAATCTTCCAGAGAATGAAAAATTATACAGTAAGCTTACACTCTTTCAACACCAAATATATTCACGGTTTGATCAAACTAGGAGTGAAAACTTGATGTTCTGATTATGAATCCATATTTTTTTTATTTGACAGATATATGCTGTGTCTATCACTATTCGTATAGTGGTAAGCTTCCCTTGAAAACTACAATGTTACAAAAGAAAATGTGTAAAATGTATCCTACCTCTGGCTTGTCTCATATGGCTTTTGCGCAACAGCTAGGGTTTATGTTGCTGACTGTCTTCTGGAAATTTGACTTCCCTCCATTCATGGTTCTTGTCATTGCCATTCTTAATGATGGTTAGCATTATTAGCTTCTCTGCCTCTAGTTAATTATCTAAAGTGTTATAAATTCCTTTTTATTTGTCATTATTATCTCTCTTGCTTCTTGTTTGATTTAAGTTTTTGCTTCCAGGTACTATCATGACCATATCCAAGGACAGAGTCAAGCCTTCTCCCCTCCCTGACAGTTGGAAGCTCAGTGAAATTTTTGCTACTGGTGTTGTTCTTGGTGGTTATCTGGCTCTAATGTCTGTCGTATTCTTCTGGTTAGCTTATGAAACCAACTTCTTCCCGGTAATTCCCCTCTTTCGTTAGCTAGCATTCATCTCTTTTACTGTAGAATTCTGCTGGTCTCTGAAGTTTTCGTCTCAGTATAAAGAGCACATACATGCCATATTGAGATTGAGAAAGGACTATAATAATTACTTCGTGAGAAAGCTATGAATTATTTTACCAGTTCAACCTCTTGATCTCTTTTATTTCCTGATTTTTTTTTTCTCTTGGCAGGAACATTTTAATGTGAGGGACTTCAACCAGCACCATTTTAACATGACGGATGGAAAAATTGCCAATCCACTTAAAGAACAACTGGCATCTGCTGTGTATCTTCAAGTCAGCACCATTAGTCAGGCCTTGATATTCGTGACTCGCTCCCGGAGCTGGTCATTCCTGGAACGTCCAGGCCTTCTGCTTGTTTCTGCCTTCATTATTGCCCAAATGGTATGGGATATGTCATTTCATAGCTTTATAATCCGATATAAGTGAACTTGTAAAGTGTCACAAGGAACAATGTTAGAACTTGCTGGATTCCCCATCAACTGTTCTCGGGGGAAACCATCTCTCTTACTAATGCCCACAGAAACTTTTCTTGCATGAGGTTATAGCCATCAGAGTGCTTAAAAAACATTTCATTTTTTATGAGTAAGAATCCTAGCATGGGGAAGGGGGCACTGAAAAACGATAAGCATCCTTCTAAACTTCTTTAACTTCCATGTTTTTGTTAGAAAAATGGGTAGCCTCTGCTGCTACATATGCCTCATAGCATGTCCACTAGCATTTACTCTACACCTGTTTTCCTCAAGGAGCCTTTAGTCTCGTCTCTGGTAGTTATGACTGCTTTAATCTTTGCAGGTTGCAACAGTCATCTCTGCTACTGCAACCTGGAAATTTGCTGGAATCAGAAGTATTGGTTGGGGCTGGACAGCCGTCATTTGGGTGTACAATATATTGACTTACTTTCTGCTGGATCCTATCAAATTCGCTGTCCGATACGCTCTAAGTGGAAGAGCCTGGAATAATATTATAGACCAAAGGGTGAGTAAATTCTGACACTAATGCTACATATCCTTAATTATATCAACAATATTGTATAATATTAGCCAGTCACTTCCGAATTTGTTCACTGTTCTGAACAAGTTGTGAGTGGTTACTTCTACAGGTCTTTGCAAACTTCGAAATGCATTTCTTGATTCGTTTTTCTTTTCAATTTTTGTAGACTGCTTTTACCAACAAAAAGGACTTTGGGAAGGAAGCTCGTTCGGCAGCGTGGGCAGCTGAGCAGCGAACACTTCATGGCCTTCAGTCCACTGAGACAAAAATGTTTTCCGAGAGAAATACCTTCAGAGACATCAATCTCATGGCAGAAGAAGCGAAAAGGCGAGCAGAAATTGCAAGGTTAGTCTGTCTTCTACTGGAACACACCACCATGCACATCTGTGTCAAAAGAATATTCATGTCTGTGACTTGCTTAAAGGATAGAGAACTTTTGATGGCCACCCCAAGTCCATAAGATGATAAGAGTTTCATCACGGCTGGATAATCTATGCTGTCTTGGTCTTGATTCCGTGTTTTGATTGTGCAGGATGAGAGAGCTTCATACACTGAAAGGCAAGGTTGAGTCATTTGCCAAGCTAAGGGGCTTGGATCTTGAATCCATGAATCAGCATTACACTGTGTAAAAATATGTTGATGGAGATCGTATCGCTCTGTAGTAGATCTTTTCCCCCTTTCCCTTTATCCACTCTTCTTTTGTTATGGATATGGTGACTTATACAATATGGTCTTGTATGCTTAACATGATTTGTTACTTTATGAAAATAATTTGATTAAATTATGCGTTTATTTTACCATGCCCTGGCATTTCCTGGTTTCTCTTATTCGCCCTTTACACACACACACACATTCCTTATCAATCCCTCTCGTATTACAAATATAAGGTCTCATTAAGACTCGTAATTATTAAACTAATATATAATAGCCTTGAAAGAGTGAGTTTTTAGTTAAATCCGTGTGATATTAACTCGATTAAATTTAGATTATTCAACATCAAGAAGAACTTAAAATATTGTTATTTTAATAAAAATAATTAATTCAGTAATTTACAAGTCCAATTATTTTTTTAAACCACTTTTAAATTAATTTAAGAGCTATAATACAACTCAAATGAAATATATTTTTATAATAAGATCAACTTTCAACTTATATATGCTATTTGAGTTATTTAAATATTCATGATATGCACTTTAACTATAATTTTGAAAACGTTTTTCCAATTCAGCTCCCTAATGAGTTTTGTCATTTGGATATCTTCAAGGAAATTTTTCTTTTATTTTTAAGATTAAAAATAGATTGATAAAATGGGTATTATATCTCTTGCTACTCGCTGCGCGAGGAGGACAACTGGCATGCAAGTTTATTAATAAGAAACTCACTCTTCCCGACAAACAAATGAAAATAAAAAAACCAGTTTTTCTTTTTGGTTTCAACTAGTGATTTTTTTGAGTGTTTTTTATTTAAAAATGTATTAAAATAATATTTTTTTATTTTTTAAAATTTAATTTTTATATTAATATATCAAATAAAAAAATATTTTGAAAAAAAATTAATTTAAAAAATAAAAATAAAATTGAATTTCTTTCCAAAAACATTAAAAATAAAAAATAAACAAGTTCTGAGTCCACCTTAATTACCTGGCCGAAGCAAAAGTAGGCCTCAATAGACTACGGGCTTTCTTGAAAAAGAAAAATATACTATGGACTGAGCCTGGGAGTCTATAAAGGGACAACAGGTCCAGTTTGTCTTAAAAAATCGAAATGCAGACGGCTACCAATCATTTGCACAACCTCTCGATTCAAAAGCAAAGAAGCAGAAACTTGAATTTGGATGATAAGGTGGAGAGAAGAGAAAAGTTAAAGACATATTTTCTTTTGGTGCTAAAGCTAAATTGGTGATATTTATTGATTCAAATTATGCAATGCTAGACCAGAAGCAGCAACAAGGTATTCTTTGGAGTCCAATGGAAAGAGAGTGCCTGTTTCTTCTTCAACGATGCAGGACAAGAAAAACCCTCTTGCAAATCCATGCACTCATTCTTCGGAACGCCATTGATGCTAATGTTAACATTCTTACTAAATTCATAACCACTTGTGGGCAGCTCTCTAGTATCCGTCATGCTCGCCACTTGTTCGATAATAGGTCTCACAGAGGTGACACCTTCCTTTGCAATTCTATGATAAAATCTCATGTGGTTATGCGCCAATTAGCTGATGCTTTCAGTCTTTATAAAGATCTTAGGCGAGAAACATGTTTTGTGCCTGATAATTTCACTTTTACTGTATTAGCGAAGTGTTGTGCTTTGAGGATGGCTGTTTGGGAAGGTTTAGAGACGCATGGTCATGTTGTGAAAATTGGGTTTTGCTTTGATATGTATGTGTCAACGGCATTGGTGGATATGTACGCAAAGTTTGGGAATTTGGGTTTGGCAAGGAAGGTGTTTAATGATATGCCTGATAGAAGTTTAGTGTCGTGGACTGCGCTTATTGGTGGGTATGTGAGGCGCGGGGATATGGGCAATGCGTGGTTTCTATTTAAGCTGATGCCTGGGAGAGATTCTGCGGCCTTTAATCTTCTGATTGATGGATATGTTAAAGTGGGAGATATGGAATCTGCGAGGAGTTTGTTTGATGAGATGCCGGAAAGGAATGTGATTTCTTGGACCAGTATGATTTATGGGTACTGTAATAATGGTGATGTTTTATCTGCTAGGTTTTTGTTTGATGCTATGCCGGAGAAGAACCTTGTCTCTTGGAATGCGATGATTGGTGGGTACTGTCAGAATAAGCAACCCCATGAAGCCTTAAAATTGTTTCGTGAGTTGCAGTCAAGCACGGTGTTTGAACCAAATGAAGTAACAGTTGTAAGCATTCTTCCAGCTATCGCCACTTTGGGTGCTCTGGAATTGGGTGAATGGGTACATCGATTTGTTCAGAGGAAGAAACTTGATGCAGCAGTCAATGTCTGTACTTCACTTGTCGATATGTATGCAAAATGTGGAGAAATATCGAAAGCAAGAAAAGTTTTTAGCGAGATCCCTCAAAAGGAAACGGCTACCTGGAATGCTTTGATAAATGGATTTGCAATGAATGGGCTTGCTAGTGAAGCACTGGAGGCATTTTCGGAGATGCAACAGGAAGGAATTAAGCCAAATGACATAACCATGACTGGTGTTTTATCTGCTTGCAGCCATGGTGGTTTGGTAGAGGAAGGGAAAGGACAGTTTAAAGCCATGATCGAATCTGGGCTTAGCCCAAAAATTGAGCATTATGGATGCTTAGTTGATTTATTAGGGAGGGCGGGGTGCTTAGATGAAGCTGAGAATTTGATTAAAAATATGCCTTACGAGGCTAATGGAATAATTCTGAGCTCCTTTTCATTTGCCTGTGGATTCTCCAACGATGTTACTAGAGCGCAGAGAGTACTAAATCAGGCTGTCAATATGGAGCCAGGTAACAGTGGAATCCATGTCATGATGAGGAACTTATATGCCATGGAGGAGCGATGGAAAGATGTGAAAGAAATTAATGGATTGATGAGGAGAAGGGGGGCAAAGAAGGAGGTTGGTAGTAGTGCTATAGAAGTTGATAGTAGGGTTTCAGAGTTCATATCTGGGGGGATAGCTCACCCACAATTGGATTTTATAGAGTCTGTCATAGGTCAATTGTGGATTCACATGAGGGATAGTTTGGATACTCAAACTCCATAACTGAAGTAGCAGGAGTGTTTCCTTATATTCACTCACGAATTTAACTTGTGCACTCCCACGAGGAGGGGCTGAGAACCTGCATATATCAACCATTGCTGAAGAACCAGACTCACTGTTGGGATTTTGAAAAACCACTGGGAGCCAAGTGCTCATGCAATTTCATCAGAGATAAGAAGTCAACGTGTATTGAATTCTTAAACAGAGAATTTCTGGATGGGGGAAAATGAAATGATTTATCCTTCACAAGAACTATCAGGCGACGAATCACACCTAGGGAAGTATTTTATTCCTGAACGCAGGACCACGAGCTTAAAAGCTCAGTGAACTGTTTTACTCCCTTGTCTCTGCTTTTGTCGCTAACACCTAACACAAAATAAATGCAACAAGTCATCATGCTACAATAAAAGTCAGATGCAAATAGCCACGACTCTACATCCATTTCATTCGAAAACCAAAAAAAAAAACAAGAAGAGGAAACCAGACCCCCTACTACTGAATTGCCAAAAAGAGAAACTAATACGACGAGGTTATATCAAATTGTCAAAACTCCTTTCACATTATGCTTTGAATGTCTGTAAAGTTTATTTGATTGAGCTCCCTGTAAGTAACTTTATAAATTAATTGTCAAAAGATAAGAAATTTTATGTTTTATATTTTGAAGTTCAGTTTTTTTAATAGAGTTGTCACTAAGTTGGAGTTATAGAATGGAAACATGGAATAATCAAAGTTGAACCACATATATCCAGCAAAAAAAGTATTATATAAAAAAAATAATTTAATTTCATCTAGATTTTTAATTAGACCTGCAAAATCATATGAGAATTTTACTTGCAATAAAATTCTTTATTTTCACATTAGATATTTAAATAAGCATATATTGAGCTTTAAATATCAAAATCAAGTGATTCAAAATTTCAAGTTCATCTACATGTTAGGAGATACAACTTTTATAAAGTCTCCGGTCAAATAAAATCATTTTCAATATGAAAATCTTGATGCATGTTAGATGATAGGTTTTGTCTCCTGATATAATGAGAAACTAATAACATAAAAGTCCTACCATTTAAAAAATATATGATGGGATCAGATAGATACTTTCTCTAGCTTGTAATCTTCTAGTCTTTAGCCTTGATATTTTATCATAAAGGTTACCTCTTAAAATTAAAAAAAAAAAAGTAGATCAACGTGACAAAAGAAGAAAAAAAATCTTTGCCACTGAAACTTTCAAAGAATTATTTTTGCTCCTAGAATTTTTGGAGATCAAGATCACGAGTAATGAATTCTTAATTTTGTTCAAAGAAAAATAGACACCGTCTCTAATATTAAGTTATGAGAAATAATATTATTATTATAATTTTTTTAAATTGAAATACTTTCTTTTTCTTCATAATTATGATATTGATTTCTATTCACGATAACTGAATTATTTTAAGATGACATATAAACTTTCTAGTTTCTTTCACTTTATAACTATTGTTAAGAATTGGAGTTGCAAGCAAATAAATTATTTTAATTGTTGCAACTCTCATCCTAATTTATTAAGAAAGAATAAGTTAAATTAAATTATCAAGTTTTTAAATGATTGTTTAGTATAAATTTAACAGACTTTACACTTAAAGTTATTGCCGAATGAATGATAATTTCTTTTCAATATTAAATTCATTTGATGGTAAAAAATTAATTAGAAAGATTTGTCTAATTAATTTAGTAGTAGTCTCTTTAATTCCTCTTGGCTTTAGGAAATATCAAATTTATTTTTTTAACTTGAAAGAACATTTATTTTTACTTTCATGATCAATATATTTATAGAAATGAATGTATTAACCCTTTAAACTAAATTACCAACATATTAATTTATCAATTTTATTTTCAGAATTTCATTTCTTTAATTATTCAAATATTCTCCTTGTTTTATTTATTTCAGTTTCTTGTAGGAAGATTTAAGCAAAAAATTTCTTGGATTCAATCTAATTTTTACAATTATATTATAAATTTATTTTACCTATAATAATAAAATTAAAATTAAAATTTAAAGGT